TACTCCAATATTATTGCATTTATACCGATAAGCGTGGACTCAAAATTTCAGGACTATTTCGCGAATGATTATTCCAGTTCAGTCAGATACGGGACAAATCTCTTTTAATGTTTACTTCATTTTTGTGATTGCAATATAAGTTTAAATGTATTTGTTCATGATAGAAAGTATCCATTGAACACTGTAATAGTCAAAACGTCTAAATATTAATTACAATATGAAAATTATGATTTTTAAAATCTTAGTATCTGCAAGACTAGTGTAAAACGATTTCATTAGTATTTTGAAAAACATTGCATACATCTTTGTTTTGTTGGAAGAATACCATTACAATAATACCAATGTCCATTAAAAAGTTGAAATAATTCAACAAATCAAGCAGAATAAATCACAAGAGATGGTGAAAGAAAGCGAGTCCCGTAAATGATAGACTCGTAAATGTTGAACATTTCTGTTTGACAAAGGAATTTTATTAGAAATTGTTGAATGGTTTACATGAATGACAATAAATGACAGAATTATATATTCACTAAATTTAATAACTTATTACATTATTGATTCATCTTATAAAAAATTTTGCTTTTTAAGATGTCAATATTTGAATATTTCTTTTCATTGAGCAATGTTTTAATTTCTAAGATTATGAAAAATAATTGTGGTCCAAAAATGTTTTTGTTTAATGCTTGATTTGCTTTTATCTACAGATTGCTGGTTTGGCTCTATTCTTGTTTATAAGGGTTATAAGTTTAATGTTTAACATTACATTCTATGGGAAATAACAGAAAAATTAATTTAGCAACTGAGATAAGTGTCTAGATTTTAAAATGTGTGCATGTCTCACCCTCAGCCTGCTGAATATGTGTAACAAATTTGCCTAGATTTGATTTTGGAAGAGTCCATTCAAATTATATGGGATTTCTATATAAAGATACACAATTTGAACTACCAACAGCATAGACGCTTGTTGGACTGTGCAGATTTGCAGGCTGGTCACAACACTTATCACTTCCAGGAGGTTAAGGGATAGGGAAGATTTACCCTATTGCAGATTGGCTTAGGTTATTGGTGTTAAGCCACTGGCCCCTCAACGCTGTGGGTTGGAATCCCAATAGGGACTTTGGGTTCTTTCATGTGAGGAAGTTAACAAGCTAGCTAATTTGATGTCGGCGGTTCTACTCAGGTGAAATAATGCATGGAGGACCTGAGGTCTTCCTGCACCAATGAAGCTGGACAGTTGCCATATAACCTCACCTGTGTTGGTACAATGTAAAACCCTACAAAAAAAGACAACAACGAATCAAACATAAATTTGCCAAATAACATTAATACTGTGTGCAATGTGAGAACCAAAATAAAAAGACGAAAAAATACCATTCGCCCCATTAAAGCAAAAAGGTACCAAGCGACATTTTGGCCAAAAATGACTTTTTAACATTTTTCATTATGTTTTAATGTTATCTTAAATAATCTGTAGAAATATCTCTGTAGTATCATGTTTATTTACAGACATATAAGGTTATGTAAAAAGGTACCATGTCAATATTTTCCCATTTAGTAATGCAAAAAGGTACCATATGCATATCAGTTTGAGCAAAAAGGTACCAAGTGTCACATAGTACCTCTTTGCATTATATGACTATATATGTTTTGAGCATTTATTTTAATGCAAAAAGGAACCATGTGTCACATGGTCCCTTTCTGCACACAAAGAATTTACGACCCTTAAGATTATTTTATATATTAAATTGTTTGCTTGGTACCTTTTAGCTTTTTAATGAAAACACAATCTAGATGTTGCTAAGGACATCAAATATAACAATAAATCCCAGAGTATTGTTTCTGTTTTAAATTGAGGAATGATAACAGTGTGAAGATAATGATAGTGTATAAATGACTTCTTCACAAAAATGTGGACGTAAAAAGAAAAGTAATTGATTGTACTCTTGCCAACAAGATACATGGGGTATATGAAAGGAGAAGAATGACAGGGAAGTGTACATCTGCAAATAAACTAGATTATGATAAAGTTAAATTGGTGAAACAGCATAAAGAGTAATTTATTTATTAAAGAGAAAATTATTCTGATTTTGACTAACAATGTAAGAGATTTTGACATAGGCATTGAGATTGATCACAGAGGAAGACTTTCAAAACATGCAGTGTGATAGTTGTTGCAGACATTTACTGAAAACACAAGAATTTCATATTATTATTGGTATGATTGTAGAATAAAATTGTAACCAAATGATGCTTTTTGTTAATATTGTTGGGACAAAAAGGTGCCAACTGCCATATGGTACCTTCTTTTCATATATTCGACAGCAAATGTTAAAAATCATACAATGCAAAAAGGGACCAAGCGTTCATATGGTACCTTCTTGCATTTGTCGGTCAAAATATTGATTAGTGCAAAAAGGAACCATTTCCTTTAATTGATTAATTATCACTAATTAGTAATATATAAGCTTTCCAACTTTTTGAGCATGTACATTCAAATATTATCTAAATATATGTGAAGTTTCATTGCCATGTTGTAAAAACCTGATTTGATATGGAACTTCAAATCTTTAAACGCGATTTTCTCGAAAACATGAAAATGTCACTTGGTACCTTTCTGCTTTAATGGGGCGCATTGATAGTGGACATTTCCAAGTGCTGAAAATATCAAACTATGGCTTTAGTATATCAGTTATTTCATATTTTAAATTTTTCAATACTTAGGAAAATTTATAAAATAACAGAGCTTAACTAAATGTGTAAACATACGAAATTTGTTCATTCCTGCATGAACTGTTATGATTTCAGGACAAGAGAAAGTCGGGTGTAGACAGAAGTAATAGCACCACACCTACAAAGTCAGATATAATATCCCCGCTTAAAGATACTTCATTAGGTAAGTACTTTCCTGGAATGAAATATTGTCCTCTGTATATTGTGTATATGACTGGGTGGGCCTTCTGAATCTTGGTAGAATATATTTCATTCTCCTTCAAATAAATAAATGTTTCACTTTGTCAAGTTAAAAAGAGTCATAAATAGCAAGTTAAATGACTTCCATGAAACATTAAATTCACAAATTCTGTTATTTCTTTGTGATTAATTTCGAAAGTCAGGCCAGTCTGCACTTGCAGTTAGTACCTCATTTTAAAAAAACCTTTTTCAAATCAGAAATCCCTTACAATAACAATTATTTGCAAGTTTGGAATTGATGGAATGTATTGTTAAAAGGTTAGGAATGTGTTAATAGACATTATTTGTGTTAAATTGACTCATATTGACTTGAAGAAAAAGGGCTTTGTTTTTTCATATTGAAACTTGTTGGGTATATTACATGTCTATAACATAAATTTTCTGTAATTTTATATGAGGACACACAATATGTTGCTCTGTAACCATTTGAAGCCTGTGTATACACAGAGCTTACTTTATACAAAGGGGACATAATCCTGTGTAAAGAATGTGGCGATAAAAATGGTTGGATGAGAAGTATGAATGACAGCACGAAGCTCGAAGGATGGATACCAGCTACATACGTTAAAAAGGTGAGATTTTGTGAGCTCAAAACATGATAAAAATGAGCCGGAAAATGATAGGCTAAGTCCAAAGCCTGACAGGCATTCCAAACCTCCGAGGATTCAGAAACAAAAAAGTCAGAATAGTAAACCCCCAAAGCACAGAAAAAGCCTACTTCCTGTCATTCATAAAGCTATAGAAACAGGAAGTGGCTCACCAAATGGGGTTTCCCAAACAACTCCAAGGACCAAACCAAAAAGCAGAATTCCAGTTGCAAAACAGGCCAGACCAGCAACATCCCCAAAGACATCACAAACTAACCAAGGGTAAATACATATCACATTTGTAATGTTTTATATAAATACAACAAGGACACTTTGGGGTTATTTTTAGCACGGAAATTGGGGTCTGTTTCCCTGTTCATGCAGTATGTTTTTTATCCAGTTTTTATTGTTTCCTTTTGTCTTGCAAAATTTACTGCAAGTAACATGGAAAAATATTTAATAAAAAGGTTGAGTACTTTCTGTAGTTCCTAATACTACTTTTCTTTTTGTTTGCCTACAATTGACATTATGGCACAATTTTTATCTACAACACCATGATTTGTGAATTTTCAGGCTTTTGCATTGGAGGTTTTCTTTTTTCGTTACCATCCTATGAATTGGGTTATGAAGGTCTATGGCTATATTTTGTTAGAATAAAGACTCTTTTGTTTAATGAAATACATTTCTTGAATTGGATCCAAGTTTTTCATAGGTCGACATTGCATTTGTTATATATTTGGATAGTAATCATAATATGAGTGACATGTCCAAAGTAGTTTTGACCCTGTATAGAGTCAGGTACGTATAGAGTTTAGTCCAGTCTGTGAATATTTTTAAAAAAATATTATTCATTGTATTGAATTAAGTAAAATAAAACACTTCTGAGTACATCGACATGATGAACTTATTCTTCTTTTTGGTTTCAGGGAGAAATAATGAGAACATTATATCAGGCAGTAAGGGGATACACAGCTCAGATAGATGGTGAATTGACCTTCTCTAAAGAGCTGAGTGATGTAAGGGGCAATTTCATATAAATAATTTTTCTTATAACTTGTTAAATAATAGTGTTCTTAGAGTAATTTTATTCTTGTCAGATGCATGTATTGCAGTTTAGCCTATATCTCTTACCATAGTGTTGAATGTATGTGCCTATTTTCCAATGAAATTGTACTTTTTAATGATCCATGCAAATGAAATTGGACTTTGTAATAATCTTTTGAAAAAGAATTGTCCATAGTTTGAGTGCAGCAATTTTTTTACAAAAGTTACATATCAATCAAAAGTTCCAGATTTCTATTTTCCCCAGAAAATTCTTCATTGGGACTGGCGGCTGATTTCCGTGACAATACCAGACGTCCAGGATGTTATGGCATGTATAATATAATCCTAAAATTATATTTTGGAAAGTTGTTCCCCTTATTCTATGTTCCTTTTATTTAGCTATCAAGCACTGAAGAAAGTGTAGGGCACTGTCCAAAAACAGGCCTTGTCATTGTGAAAAATTTGATGAGTTTTATTTGGTGCTTATATAACTATATATAATAACAAAATATTGTTTCCAGTGCGACCGCCCAAGATGGTATCTAGGAATGCTAGCAGACGGCACAACTGGTCTCTACCCAGCCAACTACTTCAAACCTAGTCCAGTTAGTGCACAAAGTGAAGCTTAAACCCAACTGGTCTTGTCTGATGGGTCAGCTTTAAAACCGTAACCTGCTGAATTTGTATAAAATCTACTGCATGGATATGAAAGCTGGCCAGACTCTAAAACTTGTAACAAAGGCTGATCACTTTTGGTTCCAGCAAGATAACACTTAACAGAACCATATTGATATGATACCAATAAATCATGATTAGTTGTTTTGCATGAGTGTTGAAGAATCTTAGACAATGTTAACTAAAAAAATGAATTTAGAAGCTGTAAGAACTTCTTCAGAATCATTGCTAAAGTAAAATAAACAAAATATAACATCACATAGTGTTGCCAATTGACTGGTTATACTGTTAGACTCCTATAGAGTGCTATTGTCAGTACATGTCATCAAGGCATAGACAAACTTTTGAAATGTATTGCTATGTTATATATTGTATGATCATCCCACTTCTGACACCATGTTATGTTGTATGGACGATAACAAGATTCAAACTATTCTACAATTTATTATAACCATTTAATACATGTTGTTAAGACCAGAGCTCAAGTGAGAATGACTCGGGTATCAGAGAGGCATGATCATATAATATATAACATAGCATTAATGAATATCAAGTGAAGGGAAGTAATCCAATTAACTGTACAACTAAACATGTAAAGAGTTATCTGACCTTGATACCATAACAAGAACTAAACATATAGAAATCTATCCTATGGGATCAGAACACAATATGAATTTAACCAATGGTATCAGAACGTAATAATCAAAAAATCTAACCAATGGGATCAGAATTGAGAATTGAGAATTTTATTTATCAGATATTATAATTTATATACTTACAGATATAGATACTATATGTACATTGATAATGCCTTTTATTGTTAATGTATGATTGCTGTACATGAGATTTTTATTTTTGCCTTTATCGTATATATGTATCAGTGCAATTGTTAAACTGTGCAATTTGTCTCCCTTAGTTTAAGTTGTTTTTATGTTGATTTTTATTTTGTCAAATTGATATTCTCTTGACAGTATCAGTATGTTTAAAGACCTAACAAGACATTTTTTTCATTGTAATCATATAAAAGTTAACTATATGTTTATGTGTCAGATTCAGTTGTTTGTCTATTATCATTTGTAGTCCTTGATATGTAGATCTGCTCTTAAGACAGTACCAAATGGCAATCTTAAAGCAGCCTGCCTCCAAATTCATGCTAATTTTCATGAAAATTTTGAAAGTGTATTTTGAGGTAAACTATTGTTAGGTGAACAAAGAAAGTACTTTACACATTGCAAATAGCTCTTACAAACCATGTAGTGTGGATTACCATAAAGAGGTCAAAATATGTGAAATAGCCCTTACTGCATTAGTATCACAGTTAAATTACGGTTATAATGCAAAATCAGTCTTTAATCGTGCATAACAAGAAAATTATTACTTGAGTCTTGTATCATTCTTTCGTTCTTAAAATCTTAGGATATTTCATTCAAGTTAGATGTTCTTGAAATGGAGGCATGCAGCTTAAATAGTGAAAGTACTATGATAGTTGCCTATTTTGTGTTCCATATTTAATTGGTGCATCAAAATTGCTAAAAGTTTGTCAATTTGGAAATAATTTAAGTTATCTGATTATCGGAAATTAACTGTATTTATACATGTATATAGTGTACAATTGGACTGCTTTCCAAGTACATGTATATGTACCTCAGTCTTGACTGTTTTTTATGCCTATGGAAGGTCTTTAAGCTTACATAATTGATTGTAGAGTCTCATTTTTGATGATCAGAACAAAATTTTAATTTGTAATTTTGCTCTGTACACCTATCTCTAATTTTCATTTGATTATTTTAGGAATATTTGTTTTTGAACTTAACAATGGCTGCGTGGTTAAAGTAGGTCACAAACTTGAATCACTCATGTGTCACAGTTGTGTGTTGGAATTCTGTTACAAATTTTAGATATTTTTTTCTTTCTGTGAATTTTTTTATCTAGCTACCTTACCTAGCAAACTGCTCTGGTGTCCTCTCTATACCTGAAATAATGCTTATAGGGACACCTGAGGTTGTCCTCCATGGGTTAAGCTGAAAAATTGCCATAAACCTTTACAGTGTAAATGCTTCTTACAGCTTTACCATAAATATGCTTTTCTTTAAACACTACAATGTACCAAAAATATACATTTTGTATAATATTATGTAAGAAAATGCTAACTTTAAATAATTCTTTTCTGTCTTAACTTACAAGTGTTTACTTATATTGTACCCAAAAAAACCCAAACACAATTATTATTTACTTTGTGTCTTGTTGCCATGGATACTGTCTGCTACATTATAAGATAATCTACAGTGCTGATCTTAATTGTGTAACTAGTGCTATTTAAATGCAATGTTATGTCTTTCATTTATTTATTTGCTTTTTTAAAAGAGATTTTGTTTATTTTTGTCTCGGATATATGCTTTGTTTACAGTTAATGATAAGGTTAAGACTTAAAATTTATTTTTTTCCATGACAGTAGAGTCAGTCACCTCAGATGAAGCTGCTTGTTTTTAGCTATATAAGTATGGATTTGATGGCAGTTTTATATTCTTTTACACATGAAAAAACTATTCACAAAATATCTCCTTATTTAAAGAAAGAAAATGATGAAATGTATGAAATATCATGTATGAGTCAGCAATTATGACAATGTATGAGTCAGCAATTATGACAATGTATGAGTCAGCAATTATGACAATGTATGAGTCAGCAATTATGATGCCCATGAACATCAGGTGACTGTCATAGAGACGTCGTGAAGAAGATTTTTGTCCCACAACAAAGAAATTAGCCTCATATTGAGCAATATGTTCTTAAAGCTGCATACTTTTCTTATGTCTATGTATTTGATTCAGTTAATATCAGATTTCATCGCAAATTAACTTTTGATGAAATTTTACCAACATACTTTGTATCAGATAAATCAGATATTTTAAATTTATGAAGGCTTTTTGGGCTGAAATCAATGTTAGTCCTAGTTGTTGTTTATTTTATTATATTTCAAGTAGTGAATAAGAATCTTTCTTATCAAATTCAATTATTTTTTTTTTCAAATGATCAGATATATTTGTATTAAATTTGCATTTTAGTTTTTATTATTATACATGTATAATGGCCAGTACATTTATTTACTAGTACACCATAGTTTTTGTCACATTTAATGTTCATAGTAAGTACACATTGTCACAAAAACGTTAATTGTGCTAGAAGTTCTTTTTGAACTTTCTATGTTTAAGATATATTCTTTCTAACAGTGAAAATATATAAAGGAAGAGAATAAAAGTGGAAGCAGGCAGAGTCTTATTCACAGACACATTTCATGTTCCGAGTTCATTTCCACAAAGTGGGATTCAAATTAATGTCCTCCAAAGGTTTTTCTACATTTCATTTGTTTTTCTTGTTACTGTTAGTGTAGATTTTTCATTCATTTTTCCATTAAGCTCATTTTGAGCTGATATTCATACATGTAGTTTTCATACCGTCAAACAGGTCATTCTTACTGCAGGATGTGAATATTTTATTATCAGGAATACATAGAGAAAATGCGTTCTTGTTATTTTTGTAGTAAGAAGTAAATCATTAGTAGAATTAAAATTCTGACTACATAATAACATTTTCTCATGATTGAAACAAAAAGTATTTCTGAAAATTGAATATTGCCACACATCTTATCTTGTACTTTCTGTTGCCAGTTATCTATGGTGATTATTTAACTGATTTTATATGTCTGGTGCTGTAGGGTAGATAATGTTACCTTATTTGTCATGACTTATTATTGATTTTTGATTTTGTATAAAGACAATGTCATGTAAATGAGACATAATTTTTGTTTGTTTTGTATATTTAAGTCTCAATTGTACCATATATATTTATACTCTACTTCTTGAAAAATAAAGCTTTTTTATGTAATATCTTGTTTATTTTTCTTTCATCATGCTTTATTGTTTTTATACTTAAAGTGCTTATTTCACCAAAACTTACAAAATACACAAAGCAATAAAATACCTGATAGTGAACATAGCTATTCTTTTCTACTCCCTCCGATAAACTGTAAAACAAGAACCATGGAACATTTCTGGGGCTAAGCATATTAAATTTATGTGTTAAGTCTAATATTTACTTTTGTATGAAAAAAAGTACCCGATTGGCATACATGTGCCCACTGAAATAGGTCAAATTAATTTTTAGGGGGTCAAAACTTGATTTTTTTGGGTACATTGGGTGCAAAGAACCCATTACCCTTAGAATTACACATGTTTTTATGGTGTTATTCATTCCCAAAAAAAAGAACATAGTTATATAGCCTATTTTTATAACATTATAAGTCAGTAACAGTTAATTTCTAGAACAGTGCCATTTTATTATTTTCAGTTTGCATATATTTGGAACAACTGTTAAGTGATATTCAGTAAATCTAATCACAGAAGGGAAAAATGCATATTGCCCTAAACCTGCTAATTCTGTACTGGACTAACTTGACTTTGAATATGGATCAATTCATTCTAACTTGGCTTTGAATTTGGCACAGTTCATTCTATGTTGAAGGGTCCATCATTTCAGCATTTCAATACAAAACAGAAATCCAAGCTGGCCTGGCTCTATACTGGTTGCAAAGGATAATCACTTTCAGATCAGGTAAATTAACAACAAGATTTAATGTACTGTATATACTTCATATTTAATGGTATATTATTAGTTATAAAGATTTTTGACAGGTTATATTGCCCTGTATAAATGGTTGATTGGAAATATAACCCTAGTCGCTAGGCAAAGGTTATATGGCAAACAACCGTTTATATACATGTATGGTCATATAACCTGTCAGAAATCTTTATAACAAATTTATAATACAGCAAGTATCATTTTTAGTGACAAAGTGAGAATTCTTCATAAATCAACAGCAGCTGTGTATATAAAACTATATAAATGTCACGATTTTCTAATGAAAAGCGACGTTACAAACGTGCAGTATAATAAAGAATGATTGTATGAAACATAGAAAATGAACAATAACCAATTTCGGGACAAAACATTTCCTTTTTTTTCAAAACTAACCAAAACTATGAGAAAAGGGTTTAAAATTATACCAGTATATTGTATTGGAATTGTTGATACAGTCTCTGTATGTAACTATTATTCTGGCATAACTGTATTTAAATTGTTTATGACCTAAAATAAAACTGATAAACTAATGAAACAAACAATAAAGTTTGTGTATGTATTGAAATTCCTCCCTCCAAGGGTCAACTTATCCATGTCACAAAAAGGAAGCATCCTATCCCAATACTACTTTCATGGAGTCCAATTCAAATCGGTTACCTCAGCTGAATACAAAGGCATATTTATATCAGAAATCCTTACTTGGGAGGTTCACATAAACATGACAACCAAGAAAGCAAACCAAACCTTAGGATCCATATGTAGAAACATACAGGGTAAATCCCAATCCATTAAGTCCATTGCTTACAAGACGTTACATTTAGTCAGACCCCATCTTGAATATGGTTTCGAGGTATGGCCTCCCCACACCAAAATACAAATAGATCTAATTGAAAATGTCCAAAGAAGAGCAGCGTGATGGATCACGCTAGCTTATGGTCAGACCTCTGGTGTACAGATGCTAGGTTATTCCTTTTCTATCAAATCAACCATGGTCTGGCTGTTCTTTCCCCATAGAAGAATATGTGACACCCCTCTCCCAAACATTATGCCATTGCCATTCCCTAGCTGTGTTATAGGTTATTCACAGCAACTTCAGATCATAATAAATTCCCTTTGTTTCATAGTACAGTATACCAATGAAACCATCTAGTCCCCCTGCAGTTGCCCTACACCCTACCCCAGAGTGAATTTGATGCATCCAAAGCTTGCATTGAACATAATAATTATGTCTCATTCTAGTTTCCCAGCCCCCTGTTTTTAACATTTTTAATAATTTATTATCGTCTTTTAAACAAGTGTTTTTAAGTTTCTTGCGGTTTTGACCAGACATGTCTACATTCCCGTGAGGGCTTTGACATTAATGGAAGATGATATTTCAAATGTTTAGTCATTGTTTTTTGTTTGTTTTAGACTTATTCTTATAGGCACATAGTTGTGCTCCACAATCAAACTTTCAAAGACAAGTGTTTGTGAATCCCTTCGGCTTTCTTCTCAATATTTTCTATATATGTTTCATGTATAGAGGGAAAATATTTTGCGGTGTTCAGTATTATACACTAAAGTCACGACCTTTAGTCGTATTCAACCTATTCGACAAAATGTCAGCCTCCATGAGAACGTGTATTGTGAGACGACCTACTGTAATTAAACAGTATTTTGGTATCACAAGTTGTCAGAATGTATTGACTGGCGGGGCGTTTCAAAGAAAAAGTATATTTACTCACGCTGCACGTGGTAAGTTAACTGAAATTATCAAATGTTATTGTGTACGAGGAAATCGGCTAATTTTGTAACGGATAATGGACATGACCTTGATCAGCTGTTTATAGTCTGTTTTATCGTAAGATGACCATGACAGCTGCGTCATCGTAATGGTATGAATGCCATATATTGTCAAATAGTCTCGTATGCAGTGAATGGGTACATTTATGAGGTAATATTTGTGCTATCATGTTATGTCATTGATATGTAGTTGCATGTTTTCGGATATGATGTTTTGGAGGGTATGACTAAATACCGAATATGGGGTCCTACTAAACACTGCTAAGGACTGCTAAGGACCGCTAAGGACTGCTAAGGAGCCACAAAGAACTACTAGGGAGGCACAAAGGACCTTAAAATACCTCCTAGGGCATTCTTATAATATATGGTAGTATGTTTAGTGAAAAAAAAATTATAATTTTAAGAAAAAATATTATTTTGGTGAAAATTTTATGAGTTGCCGGACCGCTAAGGACTGCTCAGATACACAAAAGACTGCTAGGGAGGCACAAAGGACCTTAAAATACCTCCTAGGGCATTCTTGTAATACAAGGTAGTATGTTTAGTGACAAAAAATGTATTATTTTAAGAAAAAATATCATTTTAGTGGTAAAATTTATGTTTTTGAAGAGTTGCTGGACCGCTAAGGACTGCTCAGGTGCACTAACAACTGCTAGGGAGGCACAAAGGACCTTTAAAATCCCCCCTAGAACATTCTTATAATATATGGTAGTAAGTTAATAGACAAAAATGTATTATTGTAAGAAAAAATATAATTTTTGTGATAGAATTTATGCTTTCGATGAGTTGCCGGACCGCTAAGGACTGCTCAGATACACAAAAGACTGCTAGGGAGGCACAAAGGACCTTAAAATACCTCCTAGGGCATTCTTATAATACAAGGTAGTATGTTTAGTGACAAAAAATGTATTATTTTAAGAAAAAATATCATTTTAGTGGTAAAATTAATGTTTTTGAAGAGTTGCCGGACCGCTAAGGACTGCTCAGGTGCACAAACAACTGCTAGGGAGGCACAAAGGACCTTAAAATCCCTCCTAGAACATTCTTATAATATATGGTAGTAAGTTAATAGACAAAAATGATTTATTGTAAGAAAAATTTATAATATTTGTGATAGAATTTATGCTTTTGATGAGGTGCAGGACTGCTAAGGACTGCTCAGGTGCGCAAAGGACTGCTAGGGAGGCACAAAAGACCTAAAAAAATTTCCTAGGGAGGCACAAAGGGCCTCAAAATACCTGTGAGGGCATACCTATAATACATGGTAGTATGTTTAGTGACAAAAAATGTATAATTTTAAGAAAAAATATAATTTTGTGATAGAATTTATGCTTTCGATGAGTTGCTGGACCGCTAAGGACTGCTCAGGTGCACTAACAACTGCTAGGGAGGCACAAAGGACCTTAAAATCCCTCCTAGAACATTCTTATAATATATGGTAGTAAGTTAATAGACAAAAATGTATTATTGTAAGAAAAAATATAATTTTTGTGATAGAATTTATGCTTTTGATGAGGTGCAGGACCGCTAAGGACTGCTCAGGTGCGCAAAGGACTGCTAAGGAGGCACAAAAGACCTTAAAAAATTTCCTAGGGAGGCACAAAGGGCCTTAAAATACCTGTGAGGGCATTTTTATAATACATGGTAGTATGTTTAGTGACAAAAAATGTATAATTTTAAGAAAAAATATAATTTTGGTGATAAAATTTATGTTTTCGAGGAGTTGCCACACCGCTAAGGACGCCTCAGGTGCACTAACAACTGCTAGGGAGGCACAAAGGACCTTAAAATCCTTCCTAGAACATTCTTATAATATATGGTAGTAAGTTAATAGACAAAAATGTATTATTGTAAGAAAAAATATAATTTTTGTGATAGAATTTATGCTTTCGATGAGTTGCCGGACCGCTAAGGACTGCTCAGATACACAAAAGACTGCTAGGGAGGCACAAAGGACCTTAAAATACCTCCCAGGGCATTCTTATAATACAAGGTAGTATGTTTAGTGACAAAAAATGTATTATTTTAAGAAAAATTATCATTTTAGTGGTAAAATTTATGTTTTTGAAGAGTTGCTGGACCGCTAAGGACTGCTCAGGTGCACTAACAACTGCTAGGGAGGCACAAAGGACCTTAAAATACCTCCCAGGGCATTCTTATAATACAAGGTAGTATGTTTAGTGACAAAAAAATGTATTATTTTAAGAAAATTATCATTTTAGTGGTAAAATTTATGTTTTTGAAGAGTTGCTGGACCGCTAAGGACTGCTCAGGTGCACTAACAACTGCTAGGGAGGCACAAAGGACCTTAAAATCCCTCCTAGAACATTCTTATAATATATGGTAGTAAGTTAATAGACAAAAATGTATTATTGTAAAAAAAAAATAATTTTTGTGATATAATTTATGCTTTCGATAAGTTGCCCGACCTCTAAGGACTGCTCAGATACACAAAAGACTGCTAGGGAGGCACAAAGGACCTTAAAATACCTCCTAGAACATTCTGATAATATATGGTAGTAAGTTGATAGACAAAAATGTATTATTGTAAGAAAAAGTATAATTTTAGTGATAGAATGTATGTTTTCGATGAGTTGCAGAACCGCTAAGGACTGCTAGGGAGTTACAAAAGAATCTTAAAATACCTCCTAGGGGCGCAAAGAACTGCTAGGGAGGCACAAAGGACATTTATATACCTCCTAGGGCATTCTTATAATAACATGTTAGTATGTTTAGTGAGAAAAAATGTATAATTTTAAGAAAAAAATATAATTTTGGTAATAGACTTTATGTTTTTTCCATGAGTTGCCAGACAGCTAAGGACTGCTCAGGTACACAAAAGACTACTAGCAAGGCACAAAGGACCTTAAATAACTTCCTAGGGCATTTTTATATTATATTGTAGTAAGTTAATAGATAAAAAATGTATTATTTTAAGAAAAAATATAATTTTCGTGATAGAATTTATGTTTTTCGATGAATTGGAGGACCGCTAAGGACTGCTTGGGAGGCACTAATGACCTTAAAATACCTCCTAGGGTCACAAAGGACTGCTAGGGAGGCACAAAGGACATTTATATACCTCCTACGGCATTCTTATAATATTTGGTAGTATTTAGTGAGAAAAAATGTATAATTTTAAGAAAAAATAAAATTTTTGGTGATAGAATTTATGTTTTTTTCTATGAGTTGCCAGACCGCTAAGGACTGCTCAGGTACACAAAAGACTACTAGCAAGGCACAAATGACCTTAAATTACTTCCTAGGGCATTTTTATATTATATTGTAGTAAGTTAATAGATAAAAAGATGTATTATTTTAAGAAAAAATATAATTTTGGTGATAGAATTTATGTCTTCGATGAGTTGCAGGACCGCTAAGGAATGTTAGGGAGGCACAAAGGACCTTAAAATACCTCCTAGGGGCACCAAGGACAACTAGGGAGGCACAAAGGACCTTAAAATACCTCCTAAAGCATTGTTTTAATACAAGTTATAATGTTTAATGAAAAAAAATGTATAATTTTAAGAAAAAATTAAATTTTGGTGATAGAATTATGCTTTTGATGAGTTGCAGGACAGCTAAGGACTGCTAGGGAGACACAAAGGACTGCTAGGGAGGCACAAAGGACCTTAAAATACCTCCTAGGGCATTCTTGTAATATATGGTAGTATGTTTAATGACAAAAAAATGTATAATTTTAAGAAAAAATATAATTTTAGTGATAGAATTTATGCTTACGATGAGTTGCCGGACCGCTATGGACCGCTAGGGAGGCACAAAGGGCGTTAAAGGTTCTCCAAAGAAATTCTTGTAATATATGGTAGTATGTTTAATGACAAAAAAGGTATTACTTTAAGAAAAAATATAATTTTGGTGATAGAATTATATATAAAGAATATCACTGTAGTGAATGAAATTATATTATGAAGAATTGAAGAAGAACAATTTTAAGTTCAAAGGAAATCAGACTGATGTAATAAATGATCAAATAAATAAATTTACCATGTTACTGGTGCTTATTGATTAGTCTTACTATGAACAATGTTAACAAAAATTGCCATTTTTTCCGGGCAATTATGTAACAGTTGTCTGTAACATCCGTCCCTATCATCAGTATTAAAATTTATAATGAGCCGCGTCACGACAAAAACAACATAGTGAGTTTTGTGACCAGATGGATCCAGACCATACTCTACTTGTAATAGGGTTTGTAAGCAAACAGCATGGATCCTGATCAGACTGCGCGGATGCGCTGGCTGGTCTGGATCCATGCTGGTCGCAAAGCCATTATGTTGGTTTGTCATGGACGCGGCTCATATGGTGCTTACTTAAAATCTTACAAAGGGAGTTTTAGCTAAATCTCCAAAGCAACTGATATTATTTTTTTTTACGAAAATTATTTACATGAAAATAGATTATATGTTACTCTAACCCTTCAGTGGACCAACCATTATCAAACATAATATTAAAGCTAAAATGAAAATCGGACAAATATAAATATATATATATTATAATATATTTTTTGTGTGTGTTTTCAAAATAAGGTACTGAAGTGGACAGATGTAACAGAAATGAGCAAATGATTCTTTTTTAATTTTACAAAAACACTAAACTTTTAAATATCTTGTTCTTATGTTGTGTGATATGGAAGTAGTTAGCTTTGCAACTGTAACATAGAAATATTTCACACTAAATTTAATCAAAATAATCTTATCAGGATATATATTCACAGACAAACTATTAAAAAATAGGATATATAGAATGTTGATGTTGGACATTGTGGGTTTAAAATTAGTCGATTGTTAAAACATAGATTCTTCAAGATCATTCTTTTTACTTCAATAATAAACAAATCATCTATCCCAGCCCCTCATAAAACAGTTGGATACAGACCAATTTCAGCCCCTCATAAAAACAGTGGGATATGGATCCTAACTTATACATACAGA